TGCCCGAACGCGAGCGATAATCGGGGGCGTAATATTCACCACGTCGCGGACACGTCAACGTTCCAAATTGCAGCGAGATGCTCGCGCTCGCTCACGGAATGAGGTCAAAGGTAAGCCGCTGAATATCCGCGAATTTCGGCCTCATGGCGAGAGAGACAGGAAGAAGCAAGACGGACGCGAGAGGCGCCCGGTTCCCACGTCAATCCGTCCCCGTGGCGATGTTTTTATTTCACAAGCAGAGAGAGAGAGAGAGAGAGAGAGAGAGAGAGAGAGAGACGGTAACCCCGGAGCATAATCGCTCGCTCGAACGAGACGGTGCCGCGCCCCATTCTGCGACACAGCAGCCAGACTATATTCTGCTGGCGCAAAACGAACATTTCGCCGCGCACGCACTATCGAGGATTATACTCTCTCGCCCGGGGGGTGGTCGTTTGCGGGTCGAACGCAGAACGAACGCAGGAGCTCGACATTCGCGCTGTAAAGAATTTCTCTGCCAGGGAAACGTGAAATCCTCCCGTGCGTCCCGTGCGATCGGAAGAGAGACGGAGAGGCCCCGGAAAATGGGCCTCGAGAGCCCTTCTCGGTCGCGAACGGTTGGAACGGCGTTGATCGAGTGAGCGAGCGAGAGAGAGAGAAAGAGAAAGAGTGGAATCAACTTGATTATGCTCTAGGATCAATTCTAGTAGCAACAATTAAAATTAATACATAATAAAAGTATAGAGGGAGAGGGAGAGAGAAAATTATTTATTACACGCTTCCCTTGGGAAGATCCCCTTAAGCGTTAGTGAACGATAATTATATAATAGAAAATACTGATGAAATAAAAATTAATATAAATATGAAAAGAAAAGAAACTAAAATATAAGTAAAAATAAAATTTATATATATATATATATATATATAGAGAGAGAGAGAGAGAGAGAGAGAGAGAGAGAAAGAGAAGCAGCGTGAGAGGATGCTATGCGCACGGACGGAGCGATGCACTTCGCTCGGGCCATTCAGGAGGAAGGCACGTCGCGCACGGAAATTGGAACGGTCCGGGAGGATTCGAAGCGGCGCGGATTGACCTCGATCGCGATTTTTGAGGGAGCAGCACCCGCTTGCGCGACCACGGCGTTGCCACCGTCGTCGAGCCCGCGACTCTCCGTCACTCCCCGCGCCCTTTCGCGCCTCGGTTCGTCGCGGGCGGCGGATGCACCGAGTTTCACCGCCGATCGAACCGGCTGGTCGTCGTCGCGCCCCGCGCGGACCACCAGACCGCCCGGTCGTTATTTTTCCCCACTGTTTCTCGAAAGGTTTCGAACGTCATCGCGCCCGTGACTCGTCGTGGGGGATGTTTTCGCTACGCTTTTCCTCCTTTCTCTCTCGCCTTCCTTTGTTCCCATTCTTTCTTTCCTTCCGATTCGAACGCGCGCCGACAGGTTGAATTTTATCGATCTTCCCGCTCTCCAGCGATGAAAATCGCGCTTACCGCGCGCGCCGTCGTCTCTATCGGCGGAATAAAAAGCCAGCTGGAATAGAATGCTGTTTCTTTTTCCTTGAATTTAAATCAGATGGGAATATAAACTGAATGTCGATATTGTGTCATCGTAATTTATGCCGCCGCTTCGCGGTAATCGAAGTGACTCACAGCGTCTCTCGCTTATTTCTCTCTCTTTTTTTCCTTCCTCCGTCGAACACGCGGAACAGAGCGCGGAGGGAGCGTTAAGTCGCTGAAAGCTGTACCCTGACAATCGACACCGGCGGCCACGCTACCGGGAGTTTCTCTTTGCGCCAAACATAAACAGAAGTCGAGAGCGACGTGGAGGAGGAAGAGGAGGAGACGGCTGTGTGATTCACTATTCGGTTTTCGCTGCGACGATACGCATTATCTCGTACGAATTGATTAACGCGCTCCACAGCGAGTCACTCGCATCGCGCGTGAGTCCGCGATGATGACTCGAATGAAATTCCGACCGCGTTGGAAAGCAAAATTTATAAATAAGGAGAAAGTCCGGAGAGCCGTGATTTTTCCTCACAATGAGAATGCGAGTTGCTTTCGCGCTCCTCCATGGGAGCGTCCTAATGAACTTCTTTCTCTTCTTCTTCTTGCCTCCTCTTCTATTCTCCGGGACGCACAAAGGAGACCTTCGAGATTTTTCGTCAAGCCTCAATGGACCGGTCCGTGAGCGCTTTTTGCATTTCCCGCATCTCTCCGGACGAGCGCAGGTAGAGCGCGCGTTACCCGGACCGGGCGTAAAGGAGGAGACTCGAGGGCGTAGGAAAGTGTGGAAAATAAAGTCTGGCCGACGCGAGCGGATGTGACGAGCGGTGAAGTATCAGGAATATTCCGGATGCGCCGCTCGGGCTTCATTTTGGCACTGCTCGACGTACACATCTCGCGCTCGCGTCATATCGACCTCTCGACCCCGTGTGTCTCTCTCTCTCTCTTTCACCCACTTATTCTCTCTCTCTCTCTCTCTTTCTCGCATGCATACTCATATACACATATATATTCTCTCTCTCTCTCTCTTTCTCTCTTTTCGCTCACTCTGGCCGCTTCGAAGTGATTCGGAGCAACGAGACCTTCCGACGAGCGAGAACCTCCCGGCGGTTCGCAGCACGAGCCGAACAAAGGATCACACCCAGGCGCAGAAATTGCCGCGATATATTCCGCGATTTCTCGAGCTAGGCGTCACCGGACGAGCCGGAGGAGGCGTCGTCGGGATCGACGGCACGCCGCCATCTCGGCGAGCTGTCTTTCTCTCTCTCTCTCTCTTTCTCGAGAGATGACGATGGCTCGTCGCTGCTCGCGGGCAGGATCCTCGCGTTTCGCAATTCCGCTCCGCTTTGCGTGCGTGCGTACGCGCGGGCGCTCGCCGCACGCACGCGAGCCACACACCGACGAGACACCGCACGGGACACTCACTCGCGATTCGAGGTTGCGATACAATATAGCAGAAGCGTTAATCAGCAGGGCACGCTCGATGCCGCACGTTGCGGACAGAAACACGAAGCCGAACACACAGCGGGCTCGCGCGTACTGTCACTGCGCGCGTACGCGACGCGTGCATGCGGACGGCTACACGCGCACTCGCACTGCACCGCGATCACGCTCAGCGCTCGCGTTCACGCGCGAGAGCTCTCTCTCTCTCTCTCGTGTACGCGGGCTGATGTGCATGTGTGTGTGTGCGTGAGTACTCGTACGTCGTGACTCGTACTTTAAACCCGCGTACATCCGTGGCTTGGCGCGTATCCGGCACTGACTACGTCATATAAAAGCCCTATGTGTACTCGACTACGCGCGCACACACACACACATACACACACGAGTGGCCGCAACGCCACGAGGAGAACGCGCACACGTTTTTCGCATTCGTCCGCACCCACATACCGTGTGGCTCACCGTGCACACACACGCGCACGGACGTCGTTCCATGAGTGCGCGCGTGCACTCGTGCCTGACAACTTCACGTGCGGGACCGCAAACCAAGACACACGTGCGCGCTCACGCAAACGGACACCGTTCCGCGCGTGTCGTCGTCTCCTGACGATGACGAAGAGGACGACGACAATGACGACGACGCTCGAACCGGCTTGCGACGCGGCGTGTTCGCCGGCCGCCGACTCGAGCAGGTACTTCCCTCGACGCGCTGAAAAATCGGGGAAAATCGATCGTCGACCAGGCGCGGCGCCGACCGAAACGCCGTGGCAGCTGCTCCCGTCTTCTCTCTCTCTCTCTCTCTCTCTCACTCTCTCTTTCCGTCTCTCTGTCTCTGTTTCCCTCTCCCTTCTCCTTCTCTCTATCGTTCTCTCCGTTTCTCCAGCAGCTTCTCTGTTGTCGACTTCCTCTGTCGCACAGTCGCCGGCTGTCACGCTCCCCTCTCCTTCTCTCTCCTCCCCGTGACCGCTCGTTTCTCTCCGACGAACGGGTTCCTCTCTTTCTCTCTCGGGCCTTCGAGTCAGCTGCCTCTGTTCTCTCGCTCCTTTGCCTTGTGCCCTTTCTCTCTCTCTCTCTCTCTCTTCCTCTCTCTGTCTCCGTCTCTCTTGCGAGCCCATATAGTGACCTCTCGTCCCTTTATAAAAGAAATTCCTCTAATGTCGATCCTCTAATGTTGCACCTAACGTCAGCGAGGATATTTGAATAGTTGGGAGATTCTAAAATTCCCCCCCCCCCCCAAANGTTCACGTTGAATTCACTCGGGGTCTCGGGAATTCCTAGGTATGGCTATGAGAACGTACTCTCCTTGGCACGAAGAAACCTCCGGCGTTCACAATGACGCTCTACCGTAGACGAGGGTCAACGAGGGTGCAGCGGCATTGCAGCTAGAAAGTTGCCGGTGCGATGAATGCGCAGGGACGTAATGATTCACCAGCGGCATATCCTCGCACGCGCGTTTCAGAAATAGATACGTGTAACCTCATCTTTTACTGAATTCGACGAACCCTCCCCCTCAACGGTATATTTTTTACTTTTCATGGGCTTTAACGTTACATTTTTTAATAACAAATGTCGAGTGTTTCTTTTTTACAATTAGAACGCGTATGTGACGCGCGTTACGCGATAAATTATACACGATTCGCGGATTCGTTCGAACGCCGATCAGTGTCGATTAAATCTTCACCAAGAAAAAGCTTCGTCGAGCTAATCTTCATTATTTCGATAATTGATCACATGCGATATCAATGTGAATAATAGCGCGCGCACGCGCAAAAAGGACAGATGCATTCGTCGGCCTTCGTGCAATCAATGCAGAAGTCTTTCATTGCAGCTGCAGCTAAGCTTGCTTCACATTCAATACTTTATCACGACTGATACCGTGTTCTGTTTTACCGTGCCTGGGTACGCGCGGTATTATCTGTGCCGCTGTGCGCGAGTTCGATTCAAACGTAGCACGTTCGACTCTATCCCACGTCAGCTTTGTCCACCGCGCACGAAATCGCGAACATGCGAGAGAAATTCTTCATACCTTTCTTCCCTCTTTTTTTTTTTCTTTTTCATTCTTTCGTTTCTCACTTACCGCCCTCGTCGGTCATCACCGTCACGGTCGAGGCCGGCCCGTGGCCTTCGGGATTGAATACTTGCAGGGAAACGAGGTACTGCGTGAAGGTCTCCAAATTGTGGATACTGTGATTCTGAAATGCGAGGATGAAGGATACACGTTCGTTTTTCTTTCTCTTTCCTTTTAATAACGGCGCGCTGTTAGACAGGCGAGATAAAATATTATACGTGACTTACGTCGACGGCAGGATCACGAATATAAATGTTTGTCATTTCTTCGTCCGCTTTCTCGCGTCGTCGGTATCCTATGCGATATCCGAGGAACTCGCCGTGTATGGTGTCGCGACTCGGCGGCTTCCACGCCAGGTAAATAGACGTCGCTGAGGTATTGTGGGCCGCTGTGATGGTCGGTTTTCCTTCCGGTACTGCAAACAATCATACATGTTTTGTAAATTCCTACGATCCCATACGGGAAAATAGATCCCGGGCTTAAACGGATGGGATCCCGGGGGAAGAAAAGAAAAACTAATGTCTGACGGAAAGATTCGAAATTACCGAGGAAGAGTCTTTTCCTCTCTCTCTCTCTCTCTCTCTCTCTCTCTCCTTTTCTCCGTTTATTGCGACTGCGTAAGCTCTACAATGTTATTTATAAACGTTGTCACGCGATATTTGTCAAAGCGATCAGCAAAATATATATATCGCGCAAATATATATCGTCTATTTCAATAAGCAAATATTAATTGTATAATTTATTGAAACGCAAATAAATTACACGCGACAGGTAAATATTAAATGATTGATGTAGGCAAATAGCGGAAATGATAAATAGTGAAACAATGAATTTTTCATAAAGGACTACTTAATAATTACGTTACACAACGAAGAGGGAGAGAGAGTCTATCAGCTTGCGTGACGATCTGCCAAGGGGGGGGGGGGTAAACTCAATGGAACGTCACATTAGATGGCATAATTTGTAAATATGGATACGCGTGGTTATCCACTTTGTTTATATTCATGACATACTTTGTTATATTTAGTGAAAATTTTAAAGATTTGACATGATTTTGTATTATTAATCGAAATTAATAATGAAAATTAATTTTTAACTATTTATTCTTTTAAAAACATTAATAAACGAAATTATAAAATAAAGTAACTTAATTTAATATTATAAACCTAAAAATTATTCGTATTTTAAAAAAAGATAACAGCGTGTGTGTATCTACAATAATTATTATCCACAATATAGTTATAATTATTTTTTTATTTTATGTATCAGCGGAAGAAGGAATAATTCCACATGTCACGTGATGTTAGAAAGGAACAAATATTTTCTGACAGAATCGTGACGAAGGGGAGGAGAGAGGGGGTAAAATTACTTAAATTTAGAGTAACAAAATTGTTGAACGGCCTCTGATTTGTTCTTGATTTTTTCACAAATCCTTTGTTACTATATTATCATAATTTGTTACTATTTTTTATTGATGTTGAGAATTCTCATATTATTAAAAGTGCAAATCAGTATTAGCGAGACTCGTAATCGACTTATACATTCATACTTCATTATTATAATCTCTCGGTCGCCCAATGCTCGTTTCATTGATAGCCGGATAACAATGGTCGACGATTCGCGAGAGGTGACTGTTATTCTTACAGGTTGTTTTGGTGCGTCGCATATTTGCCCGAGTCATTGCGGAACCCAGTCATTATGCCTCGAGCCGATTAGCAACGCATATACCACGAAGTAGTACGTCGGCGCGTTATTTATAGAGAGCTCCCACATCGGGTAATTAAAATATATCGTCGACGAATGGATTTATTAAATCGGGCTCTTATCGGCATCTCGTTAATCAACGCGTTGTTGAGAGCGATGATGTTGTGATTTCTCGGATACTGAATATTCTCGTTGTTGATCGAAGAGCGACAACGGTTCGCGATTTCCCGATCGTGACTTTGCCCTTTTCCAAGTTGCCAATTGTTTTGGTACTCTCCATCCGCTTCACGTATTTGTCCGTGACCGAGTCATTACGCGTCGAGCCGATGAGCGAAGCACATACTGCGATTGTTTGTATCGGAACGTTGTTTACATTTTCCGTCGAGTGAGTCAAATTTTTCGTCGGCTATTGAAATATTTAATCGGACTCTCGTCGTGTTCGTTAATGCATGTTTCGCCGATTGAACTGTGTCAGTGTCAGTGAGCATCGGGAATCGTGGAGCAGCCGAACACACAGAGAAAAAGGTTTGTTTAGATTTAGTATTTCTATTTATTTGACGAAAATTTGCTTCACAGAAACAACATATACGAAATATTATTTGTTCAAGTAAAAATTGTATTGCCTCATTCAAGAAAACTCTATTATTCAACAGAAAGAACGTTATTATTTGAAATAATATCTTTTAACCGAATAAAATATTATTTGGTTACAATAAATATATAAAATGAAACGAATAATTTCTTTATAAGAAAATCATCTTTCATTTCAAACAAATTTTTTATTTAAAAAAAAACATTAAAGAATTCCTTTGTTTTGATGGATCAACATTCAATACATAATTAAATAATTTTTTTATTGAAAGGAAATATTATTTCCTCTAAATAACACTGTTTTTTTTATCAAAGAAGATTTAATCTAATAAAACAACATTTTCTTTCAAACAAAATGATATTTGATATTAAATGATGATGTTTATATTAAACAAAGTCAAACAAACATGCAATCCAAATTGAAATCCAAAGAAACTTTTTCTTCCGTGTACGAAACGTTTGACGAACTTAGTGAGAATAAGGAGATATTCGAGTCGAAATGCAGAATTTATTTTAAGTTCGACATTCATAGTCTATCGTCCTTTGATAAATAATCACTTTATGAATTTCTGATTATTCGTTGATTTATATTTATTGAGTCTATTGATTTATATTT